CGCTTATAACTAGGGCCCGGATGTTCGGGCGCGATCCGGGGTTGCGGATACATCGTTTATTTCTTTTATATAACGTTTACTTATTATATTTTGAGGTTTAGCAGCGCGCCAAGTTTTTTTACATAAATAATTTTGTTATTTTAATAAAATTTTCTCATTTTGTGATGCTTCGTCTTTAATTTTTTGAAATTAAATGTATTGCATTGCAAATATAAAAGACTCTTGAATAGAAAGATAAAGCTACGTATCATTTTGTCTCATGAATTAAATGTTATATGTTGCAATAAAATATATGTTCTTTTCGCAATTTACAAAATATAATAGTATATGTTATATGTTGCAAGAAATTATATATTCTTTTTGCAATTGGCGTACTTTAAAGATTTGATTTCATTTTTTTTTTAAATACATTCATACGTACTATTGAAGGGTAATTTATAATAAAAAATCAACAATATTTCCACATGAACTATATTATTTATGTACCGATTTTTTTTTTAGTTTATGTAATATGATTTTACGTAAGTAATTTTTTTCAACATTTCTTCAAAATTGATTTTTTCTAAAACAAATAATGCGAAAATTGACTTTTTAATTATTTTTAACGTTTTCATATTACTATTATTATTTCTATTACACTAAAAAGTAATTTTACAAAAGAAAGAAGAATGTATGAACATGTATGGACATATTTCATATATAATTATACACGTTTATATGGATATTTATGCACGTTTATGTGTATATGTTTATACATATTTATACATATTCATTAATGAAAAATTTTTTACCGAGTATGTCGTTAAAAAAGCATTGTAGTTACATAACTTAACTCTGGAAAATGTATCAAATTGGACTCAAATTTAATTTATTATTTACTATGTTCATACATTAATGTGAACGCTTTACTTTGAAACTAAAAAATGGAATGACTTGATTTTGACACATATTGAAGCTAAAAATAACAAAAATGTTATTAAACATAAGGGAAAGGGTTCCTATTTAATATCTGCGACAAAGTAACATAATTGACGTTTTATAATAATGTCTTAAATTTACTCATCCGTTTGATAAAAT